CCCGGAAAGATAATGGAGCAAATAATTAAGCAATCAATTTGCGAACATCTAGAAGATAATAAGGTGATAAGTAACAGTCCACTTAGGAAGGAACAATCAGTTGCACACATACAAAATGGAAAATGACTGCCTAGGAAGGAGTACTGCAGAATGGGATCTGAAGGTCGTAGTGGGTCCTAAGCTAAATATGAGTCAACTGTGTAACACTGATGTTTACTTTTTTTGCAACATTCTGGAATGTATTAACAGGTAAACAAGACACAAGAAGTAATTCTTCCAGTCCACTCTGCACTGATTAGGCCTCAACTGGAGTATTGTGTCCAGTTCTGGGCACCACATTTCAGGAAAGATGTGAACAAATTGGAGAAAGTCCAGAGAAGAGCAACAAAAATGATTAAAGGTCTAGAAAACGTGACCTATGAGGGAAGATTGAAAAATTATGTTTGTTTAGTCTAGAGATGAGAAGATTGAGAGGGGACATGGTAACAGTTTTCAAGTACATAAAAGGTTGTTACAAGGAGGAGGGAAAAAAATTGTTCTCCTTAACCCATAAGGATAGGTCAAGAAGCAATGGGCTTAAATTGTAGCAAGGGCAATTTAGGTTGGACATTAGGAAAAACTTCCTAACTTTCAAGGTAGTTAAACACTGGAATAAATTGCCTAGGGAGGTTGTGGAATCGCCATCATTGGAGATTTTTAAGAGCACATTAGACAAACACCAGACTGGGATGGTCTACATAATACTTAGTCCTGCCATGAGTGCAGGGGACTGGACTAGATGACCTCTCAAGATCCCTTTCTGTCCTATGATTCTGTGTGCTTGTTTTGGTATGGAAGGGAACCCAAACAGTTTAGTGGGGAACCATAGTGACCCTGATTTTTTGATTAAACACTCTGCTCTGGGCAACCTCTGTAGCAAGTGTATCTGGTTCTTTCTTGGCATGAGATGGTACTTGTCTGACCATTCATCCCTCTGTGGTTGGTGATGGCTCATCCCCTGCAGCATCCCAGTTAATATGACTGGGGAGCCATGCAGATTTCTTACCAGGGAGGCAGTTTGTTAACCATATGCCAGCTAAGCATTAATTCCCTTGGCAAAGTCCTAGATGATGGGCAGTGGGGTTTAGTGAGTGGAATGTTCTGAATCCCTCCTCATCCTTCCTTCTTGTGTTGGAAGCTGTCAGAATTTGATGTTTGCACAATTACTATGTGCACAGAAGAACATGTCTGTCATTGGTGCTGAAGAAGGGGGAAAGGTACACGAGAAAAAGATGCACAAACCCATTCTAGATGTTGAAATATGAGAAACAGGACCTGATGTGGGAAGCCACCACCCTGCACACAATGTATTGATTACACCCCAGTCGCTTGAAGGATCCCTCAACAAGTGACAAACTTCAGGCCCAATCCTGCAGTGCTTACTCAAGAAACGCTCCTATGGAGTTTTGCCTGAGTCAAGACTAAGGACTCTTATCTTACTGTAAGAAAGCACAGAAGTAAGATGATTGAAGCTCATATCCATCTTGACTCATCCTAAGGAGCCAAAAAGCAACAAAATTAAATTGGAGATGAGGAGGAAAGGGTCTGAGACTGATAGTCAATCCTTTTTTTTTTAAATTGGAAAAATTACAGAAAAATAAATGTTTTGCAATAACTAGCTGTTTACAAAAGTGGCTTATGGATGAAAAAAAGTTTGCTGTCATATATTTACTCTGTTAAAAATAACAATAAGGTGATTTGTCTCAGGAAAGGCAGTCTCTCCTGTGATGCACAAGTTGCCATGGTTAATACATATTTTTGTCCAGCAGCAACATAAATAGACATGTAAACCTCAGCTGGAGAGTGAGCTGGCTCCTGCCTTGAGCCTGTGATAACATGCCCACTCTTCCTACTGAGAAATAGTTACCTCTTTGTTCCACATACATATTTTGCACATTATATCTAGGAACACCCCTTCCTTGGTGTGACCAGAGTCCCAGTGGGGGCCAGCTATAGTCCCTCAATTAGGGTGAACTGCACAGAATGGGGCAGACAATCCCCATAAAGGTGGTGGATATTCCAATACCTAAATTTACCAAGTCAGCATAAAACAGCTTCTTTATTACCTTACTGGTTACTCAGAAGTCCAAACAACACAGTTCCCTTAAAGTGATCCAGCCTCAGGCCTCCGTCCGGGTACCCATGTCAAATAAGATTACTTATTTCATCATATAAAATAAAAGGTTCTACCAATCCCAAAGGATTGGACACCTTGCCTCCCAGGTTATTAATATTACAGATCTTACCCAAATACACGCTACAGCTAATTCTTATTAACTAAACTAAAATGTGTTAAAAACAACAGAGAGAGAGTATAGTTAAAAGATCAATATACTTAGAGACATAAGTTCAGTCCACTGAGGTTCAGATTCATAGCATAGGTGGTGAGCTTTGTAGTTGCAAAGAGTTCTTTCTGAAGTAGTTCATAGGTTATAGTCCAATGTCCAAATATCATATTCAGAGCATACCAGCATAACTGGGACCTCAGTCTTGTCACTCAAACTTCCCTGGTGAAGCCTAAGCAGATCTGAGATGACAGAATCAGGACCCAAGGATCTTTTATACAATTTCATGTCTTTTGACAAGTTGGAGTTCAAAAGGTAATTAGCATGACTGTTAAGGAGGTCCATCTCCGGTACTAAGCTATAGAATTAATGTAGGCAATTTGCTTGTTCCTCCACCATTCACGGTACATTTCAAAGAGAGATGAATACTGAGATATCCCATGTTTACAATTCATTTAAATGCTAGGATGTTCTTTTGATCTCTGAACTATCAGAATACACCATAGACAGGGACTGTTGGTTACATTGTCCACACTACTTATACGTATGTAAATACACAAAAATACAAACATTATCTCCCCACATGTCTTTTGAGGGTTATTTATTTTGCAGGAGGTTTAACCCGTTCTAGCTATGTGTCACCCTTGGCAATTCCTTTTGCTGCACTTATGTGCCCCTAATGTGCTGACATTTTAATGGACAGAGTCAAGGAGCTAAATCTACATTCCCATTTTGTTTAAAAAGCACAAAACCTCAGATAAATTATTTCAATCTTTTTTTAAATGTCAGTGAAAATAGGCTTTGGGGTTGTTTATGTTCATTGAAACATGCTCCTATTCAAATGCTGTAGACTTCTGTTGTTCATGAAAACACAGAAGTGAAACTGACCATCCCAGTCTTGTTGGCCACACTGTCCAACAGATAGTCAGGATTGTGAGAAGTTAATTTGATTTAGAAAATTATTTCAGTTGTACTAATCTGAGTTCTGAGTACTAACACAAGAATGTATCATCAAATTCATTCCTGTGGGGTGAAAGATCCCTTGAGGGCACTTTTCCTACATGCTGAGGCTACTTCATTGGAGTTGAAAGGACCTCATTTTTGGATAGTCCCGTCTCTGGAAGTTTAGTTGGACCAAGCAAAGAGACAAAAACACAGTTTAAGGGCACTACTTAAAAGCAACACTTTGCCAATGTGACAGCAACATTGTCTCTGTCAATTAACACCATTACACATTAACCCGTAAGCATTGCCCCTTCCCCCATTTGTTCAGTCCCTGCATCTGAGTCTGTTCAGCCTATTATTTTAAATGGTAAAAGCGTGTGCTGCTTATGTGCATCCTGAACACTCATGTCAGTATGGGTTGGTGGAATCAGACCCTCTCAGTCCAATCGGGAGAGTGCAGGGGTTCTCAGAGCCTCTGTTACTCAAAGTTCATAAGGGCTTTGTTTACTGCATTAAGGAACTGTTCCAAAGTCATTGAAGTCAATGGGAGATCTTCCATTGACTTCAGTGGGCTTTGGATCAGAGACTATAGGCTCAGTCTGGGAAGGTGCTCAGCACTTTCAACTCCCATTAACTTTTATTGGAGCTGAGTGCACTCAGCACCAGGCAGCAATGGGCAGTGTTCATATATGTTTACTGTGCTAGCATTGTAAGTGAAGCACATTGAGATGTTTGGCTGTGTAAAACTATTGTTAAAACACTCATTCAGTGCCATTCACCAGTATAGTCGTGCTTCACAATGATATTCTTGCACAGTAAAAGTCAAACAGTTTGAATTTTCACATAGATTTACTTCATCCCATATGGAAAAATCCTTTGGAATACAAGGGAATGATAATCTTTCTGTAGGATTTTAAATGAAACTATACAAATTCTATTGCAGAGATGTAATTTCCCAGTACATTCCATAGGATGGTTCAAAAACTTATAGAAAGAACTTAATTCTTCAGGTTTTTAGGACAATTTCTGCAGCATCATATTTAATTTCTAGAGAAATCTATTGCTTTCATCACTATTAAATTCTATAGAAGAATCTACAAATGCTTTACAAGCATCATATAGTTTTGGTTTTATTAAATATATGCAGACCTCAGCATTAAACAGTTATGTCTGTCTGTTTATGGGTGTAATTCACTAGCATTTAACTAGAACTAGAATATATATGCTACCAGTATGTGAGTCAGATGAGTGGAACTACATGCTCTCCAAGTGCAGGTGGGCCTAGTGGTTAGACCACAGGACTGGGAGTCAGAAGTCGTGGGCTCTGCACCTAGTTCTGCCACTGAGTCACAGTGCGACCTTAGGTAAGTCACTCTGCTTCTCAGTGCCTCAGCTTTCCTGCCTCTCAAATGAAATAATACTGTCTCTCTATCCCCCAGTATTGTAGTGAGGCTAAATTCATTAGTGTCTGTAAACTGCTTTGAGATCCTCCCTGAAAAGGTACCATAGAAGCATTATTATTATAGATACACCGTGATTTGCAGCACAGACCAGTGCCATACCAAATTTGTACTGGACTAACTGTCTTATCATATATTATGAGCTGATGAAATATCCCCAAATTAAAGTGATCAAATCCATTCCCAATGGGAATTGAATTTCTATATCAAACTATGGACTAATGCTCAGCTTTTTAAAAATTAAAGTTGTGCATTGATTGTACTTTTTCAGATTCCAGCAACTTATTGCTGAATATGAGCCAGAGGTACAGGAAGTAGCCCGGCTCTTCCGCTCTGTCCTGCAGGAAGCCACTGAGAAAATCAAAGAGGAAGAAGAGGCCAAGAAGCTTGCGAGGCAGTGGAACACAAAGCACAAAACCAGCCTGTCCCTAATGACATTTAAATCCCGGGCCAGGATTTCCCCATTCAGCAGCAACATCAAGACCATTTCAGAAGACGTGGAGCGAGGCACTGAGCCAACCAGGAGAGTATGGAGTATGCCGGAGTTTAGGAGTGCCAAGGATTACTGACTTTATTAATAACCAGAATGAGATTTGAGAGAGAGCTGGTTTGGTTTTTAAAGAATAAGTTAACCATTATCTAGCCATGTGTTATTTCACCTTCATCCCAGTTCTCTCTCTTTCTGTCTGCCTCTGACTGTCTCTCTCTTGGGAGCTGTGGTTATAGTGACAGATGGTAATGCACATAGTCTCTGTCACCTATCATGCTAGCTTTAGCTATAATTTAGTGGTTTACAGTAACTTGATGGTCAATGGTCATTTCTTATTTCAGTTTGATTGTTTCTGCTCTTTGGAGAACAGTTTGGTGCATGGGGCATTACCATCATCCTCCCAGCCTTCTACATGGCTGTCTGCAAATGCAGTGCACCCGACCACGTGAGACTTGTAGCCCCATTGAGTTAAATGGGATTACTCATGTGAGCATGCATCAGTAAGGCTTGCAGGATCTGACCCACCAAGTCAGGGTCCCTGATTTAGCTGTCTGAGACAGACATTAAACTCTATTAATCTGAGCGCTATAGAGAAGCCTCCTACATCAACACTGATTCCAGCATATTTCTACTCAGCTTGATTGTAAAATAATCTGTTGCTTCATGCGAAATAGATGACAAACTTCCTAGACATAGAGGGTCACATTTTCCAGAGCAGCCGATTTTTGCATAGAATTGTGGATGCTCAGTTTTTTGCATGTGCAGGTCAGTCAGATGTCTACCTACCAGCTTTGCAGACACATGCTGTCTGCATGCAGTAACATGGACTCTGGCACGTGTACATACCGCACACATACAAGGCTGTGCGTGCACATTTGAGGATCCATTAAAAGCCTCTGAGCCCCCCTTAATTTTCATTTTTGTTGCAAGGAGAGATTAGGTTATAAACCCAAGTATTAAAACCCAACTGGATTAAAACTGTCTCATATTGAGACTCCCAGGCAATTCCAGTAAGTGCTACAGCTCATATTCCAGTTAATAAGTAGATGCATTGAAATGATTGGCAAGGCTGATTCTGAAAGCAGATTACTGGAGTATATGACCAGGGGAAAAATCAGTATTCACATCTAGGGATCTTTCTATGTCCCAGAGTGTTAGAGGTCATTCCAACAAATTGCTGATGTAATTTATTTCCACCGTAGGGAAAGAATGTAGGTTCATGTCATAATCTTTTTGTCCTGGATATCAAGAGGAGAGCTTTTCTGTGTATAACCGGTTTATGGCCAGTGAGGCAATCAATCTTTTCAGGGGGGAAAAAAATCTCACAGACTATAGCAAAACAGAGGTTCTGAAATTGGCCCTTTGAAGATGCAGGAAAATGCCATGGTAGATTTCTGAGTGAGGCCCAACCTGCCATCCTTAGGGAGAACTCCAAGTGGGAGGACTGGCTCTGCTGTCTGAAAAGCCTCTGATTCTGCATCAGTGCTAAATCTTAACACCTAGGGGGCTCTTCAGCCAGTGGGAAAACTCACAGGGAAGGACATAAGGTAAAGAGTCTCCCTGCAAGCTTTGCTTAGGGCAGTTTGATCCCAGATCAGCATGCTGGAAGGAGGGTTTGCCCCACTCCTAGAACCTGCTCATCACCAGATATTGGCTGGAGGTGAAGCTTATTCACACAAGGGCCCTGTGTCACTGGACTCTCCATTCACCCGCCAGCCCACACCCTGGCAGTGGGGTTTCCTACACTGGCACATGGCTCCAGAACTCTTTCTCTAGGGTTGGCAGCACCCTATGGGTGCCCTGGAGAAGGTAATGCAGTCTCAGGCTATGTTAACTCAGGTAGCTTTACCATGACAACGCTCATGCCCCTTGCTCAACCTCTCCCTGTACAAATAGACACAGAACACTCAGACATAGGTGAGAGGTTTTTCGCAGGAGTGGTGGGTGAAATTCTGTGGCCTGCGTTGTGCAGTAGGTCAGACTAGATGATCATAATGGTCCCTTCTGACCTAAATATCTATGAAAAAAAAAAAAAAAAAAGAACCTCGGACTGCCTCCTTAGGACCCCACTGGAGCACAGGGCAGGGGGGATGGTGAGTGGAGTGGCCCTGTGTGTAGTGGCCCTTCCATGGATGAGTCCTGGGGAAACAATCCACCCATTAGCCTATTAGGGCTACGCCAAACTATTGAGCAATTTAGGGTTAAATTTACTCTTGGCACAAACAGGCACAGCTTCAGCCAGGTCCCTAGGGTCATGCCTGCCGACAGCAAGGGCACATTCGGCCCTTTAGCTGGCTTTAGTCAATCTTTGAAAGGAACAATTGAAACAGAAACCTAAATTTTTCCCAGAGACTAATTTGTATTGTGATAATGTTAGTACCAGAATAGCTTGTTTTGTTCATGGGGGGGGGGGGGGATATGCTTGTTTTGTTCATGGGGGGGGAGCTTGTTTTGTTCACGGGGGGGGAGGTAGCTTGTTTCGTTCATGGGGGGGAGGTTACTATATTGGTACAAAGTGCAGCTTTGCTGGTAAAGCTGCACCCCACGCTAGGAGAGCTTTGCTGGCGTAGCAGACTGGTATTCCTATACCAGTAAAGTGCTCCTAGTGTGGATGTAGCCTCAGGTGGGAGGTGTGGGAGGGGGGCATGTGTGGATATTATAAAAAAGCAGCTTTTTCTAGCTGTAGCTTGAATTTCACGGGCTGGTTTTGGGCCACTTGTTCAAGGGGCTGGGATGGCCCAGGGGCTAAGTCTGACTTCTGCGGCATAGAATTAGAACATTAATGGTGTGGCTGACTAGAGACATTTTTGTGACCTCAAACCATCTTCTATCGCTTCAGGAAACTCTTGTGCTCTCCCATCATTCTGGCTATAACTTTGCCATGTTGTCTGTTGAGAGAGGGGGCAGCTAATCTGAAACCCACCACACTGGGTGCAGGAAGAGAGCAGTTTGGAGTGCATGGGTCACAGACCTTCTTCTCTCACGGGCACAGGGCCAGCATCAGGTATGGCTGCAGTGTTCACTTGAGCACTAGGCAGATGAAGTAAGGGTCGGGGGGAACACCTCAGCCAACCAGCAACACTCCAAGGTGGAATGGGCAGCCCTCTTGGGACGATGGCCACCTTCCTGACTGCTCTGCACAAACGGTCTGGCCTTACTCACATGCTCAAAGCCACTGAAGTTGGTCCCGCAGTCCTGGGGGTAGTTGGCAGAGAAGGGAAAGCACATGGTGCAAGCTGCCTGGTGCATGTAGGGTTTCTCCAGGACCCTCCACTCAGTTACTCCTCCTACATCAGCATGCCGTATGCCCAAATCACAAGGTAAAAGCAGATGGCAACAGAAACTAAGGCCAGGACCAAATCTTCAGCAGCTGCCCAAGTATGTGCTGGAATAGCTCCTACATCCATTCTACGTGAATCACTCTGGGCTGAGTATTCTGACTAGACGCCCACTTTTGCACAGTGCTGGAAATTCTGGTCTCTGATTAGACGCATGGGCCCTCCTAGAGAGAGTGAGCACAGAGGCTCTGGCCGCATTAATGAAACTCAGGGCTTCCAAAACTGAGATCCAGTTTGAGCTGGGCTACTTCCACTCGGGGTCAGAGAGAGCTGAAAATCTGACAATCAGATCATTGGTTTGCGACTTGGTGTTGTGTGTGTAGTTACACGTGATAGTGCGTGTTTGTTTGGTTTAAGATATAGATTTTTGAGGACAGAATTAGTTGGTCTTAGCTCTCTGGTATGTGTGCACTAACTGGAGAGGGAACAAGAAAACCTAACAGAAAAGCACTAATCCAAACACTTAAAAAAACCTATGATCAACTTTTGTATGTATTAGTAAAACCACCGATTGTATTAAATGCTCTTGGAGTGCATCTTGTGGCACTGTAGTCATTTGTAGGCACTTGCATATTCTGTATTGGCACCTTTAGTACTGGGTGTATCAATGCAATATGTGATGGATTTCTGAACAAAGAGGGGCGTTCTGATAAAATGATATACAGCTGTTATTACAACAAGGAATGTGTCTGCCATGTGCTCACTCTCATGGTAGGAAACTGTATTAGCACCGAAACCATTGGAGTACACTACAGACTTACATTAGCAGTAGCCCTCCCAGCACCCTTGAGAGACAGGACAGAAAGTTTCAGGGGCTTGCTCAAACCCACTGCTGGAGTCCACGTCAGACCTGCGGTTACAGCACAGTAAACCCTGGCTGCCAGGTCGATGTCAGACCACTGGACCATCTCTCCTTTCTAATCACAGTGTCTATTTCCTGGAGAAGGAAACAACTCTTCCTTTTCAGCAGGACAAACACTTCAGCTTACCTTTTGCAGAATTTCTCTTAGGCTTCCAGTTGAGCCTCTGATATCAATGGACTCTCAGATGCCAAAATGTGGGAGAAAGTCCAATCACTGGGCAAGATCAACCATTTAGAGAGGAATGAATAAACCAGTGATTCTCAAACTTTTGTACTGGTGACCCCTTTCACAGAGAAAGCCTTTGAGTGTGACCCCCCCCTTATAAATTAAAAACACTTTTTTATATATTTAACACCATTTCAATGCTGGAGGCAAAGCGGGGTTTGGGCTGGAGGCTGACAGTTCGTGACCCTCCCACATAATAACCTCACGACCCCCTGAGGGGTCCCAACCCCCAGTTTGAGAACATCTGGAATACATGAAGTGCCAGATTCATCCCTGGCATGAACAGTAAGCCTAGAAGACCATGGGGTTAGAGCAGGGTTGGAGCTGACCCATCAGACCACTTGCCAATGCCTCCTCTGCGTGTCTGAAGAGAGGCAGCAAGGAGGGGACCTGGGTGCGTGGCTGTTGTGCCCGGCTCCTGGCTCCCATGAAGACCATAGAGATCGCCCTACTTGGCACCGTCACAGTCACAGCTCTAAAGGGCTCAGTTAGGACACAGTCATCTTGTTTTAGCTCAGCAACATCCAGTCGTGCCCCAGATTTTACAAATGTTGCTCCTCCTAGTCCCACCCTGGAGGAGATTATCTGTGCTGTGCTGGCCGGGGCTGGGGGAACAGCCAAGTCATCACGTAGTCCCATAAATGTTGCTTTTGCAGAATCCATACACCTATTTCTTCCACAAAATCACAGAGGGCCTGATTTTGGGCTATTGAAAGGGACACACAATGTTTTCCACATCACCCACCGACACTAATGAGGGCTATGGGTACTCGGCCCTGCTGAAATTCAGGGCAGCAATGCCCACAATACGTCTGCAAGATCATCTTGTTTGTGGAGCTGAGCGTTTTACCAGCAGTAGCTTGGAGCTGCTTGTCTCTCTTATGTTTGTCACAATGTTGTACACAGGGGAATCTCGAATCAGCGTAGTGAGCGTATTTCACCTCTGTGTTTGGCACTGGCGTGACCGCTACTAGAATACTGTGCCCAGTTCTGTCAGCGTCGATTTACAAGAGGAGGCTGGGGAGGGGGAGAAACGAGCGTTCGGCAAAACATCAAACATTGCGGGAGTTGGGTAGTAGCAGCCATAAACAGTTTAGGGCTTTTCTCATCCTGGCCAATGGTGTCTGCTTCTGGCACCCCGCTCCCGCCTCCCAAGGTCCTCTGCACATTTCATTGGCCGCCTCGTCTGTCATGCCTCCGCTCTTGCGGCCGCCCTTTCCCTCCCTTCCTCTTCTCTGCCCCCAACCTCAAGAATTTGTGTCCCCTCCCCGCCCCACAACAACTTCCCCTTCTAGTTTCTCGTCCAAATCCCCCTCGTGAGCCTAAACATCATGTGAGTCTCCAAACAAAACTAGCAATTAAAAATAGAGCCAGAATCATCACGAGCCACATAGGACAAACCCAGACAGCCACACCCTCGTATCCCTGAAAGCCAGGCCCTCCCATTGTCTAGCAGCACTTGTCCAGGCTTTGCCTCTTCGGGGCAGGGACCAGGTCTTCCTGCCTGCAAAGTGCCATGCACATTTATAGTGCCAACTAGGTGACAGCGAATGACTGAACAGTAACAGGCCCAAATCCAGCATGCCGTGCCTGTGCTCCACCCGGCCACACAAGCAGTGAATGGGGCAGCATACAGATGTTGAGATTTAAGGAGATAAAACAGCTGGGATTAAACAACTGCAAAGGAGCTGAAATTCTCTGAAGCTCAGTGGTTTACAGTTGTAACCCAGCATTTAAATCTTAAAGAATCTGTTTCCAATCAGGTCCGTTTGGGTTAATCAGTGCACCGCAAAATGGGCGAGCGGGGAGAGCAAGCAGCTGTTTTTACTCTAACATGGTGCTCTTAAAGTCGCTGCTGTGGTTGTATTTGCTCCTGGGTGCTAGCATGCGTTGTTATTAACATTGTAGTTGTGCTTAGAGCCCCAGCCAGAACCAGGGCGCCGATGTGCCGGGCATTGTACATACAGAGCTCCGTCAGGGCCCAGGCGTCCCAGCCAGGGGCAATGAACGGTTGGGCTGCCCCAGGAGTAGCCTGGGAAGCAGATAATGACTCTGGGTGTCTCCTAGTTTTGCTCTGTTCCACGTGCAATGGAAGGACCTGCAAAGCCCTGCCCAGTCCCATCTACAGGTACAGTGGTAGCAGCCCTATAGAGCCTGCCATCCTCCTGGCGCTGCTACCCTGATGTGGGTCGCTTGCACAAAGGACCGCCGTACTTTCTTGTGTAGCCACCTTAACTGGGCCATAATCTGGCCCATGTGTAGTCCCAAAGGCTTGTGCACCTGGCTGATTTTACACAATGCAAGTGGTCCCATGGAAGTCGTGCTGAGCACATGTAAATATTTACAAGCTCAGGGGCCTTAATAAGGACAGCGATGGAGTGGGAGGGGGCTATCATATAAGCAGTGAACCAGGTGATGATTTATGAAAGTTTTGCAACTCAGCTTTATAAATTAATGAACCTGTGGAGCTCTCTCCTTTCTCCCCACCTTATAACCCTCTAGTTAATACAAGGGGCACCTCCATAGTTTAGTCACAATTACATTTCAGTCTAACCTTGCGCAGTGACTGGCATAGCAGAGGCATGGGAGAAAATGTGTACGTGCTTTTCTGCACCAAAGCAGCTAATCCTGGAGTAGTATTACTTCATCTTTCTAGCCCGGAAGTGCCGCGAGGCCAGGTCAGGGCCCCAGTGCGCTGGTCCCTGCCCCCAAAGAGCTCACCCTCTAAAGGTGCCAGTCTGTTGTTCCTCAACAGGGGAAGTCTGCCCAAAGAAATGGCAGAGCTCCCTGCTAAGATCCCTGGTCCTGCTGTAATCCTGAACCGTAGCATGCTGTCGTGACGGGATCCTTTCCAACGGCTGAAAGCGAGGCTGGCTTTCCCTCCTACCACACAATTCTAGCTACAACCCTTTGATCGCACTGAAGTGCCTGTTGCTGCTACATGTGCTCATTGGCCTATGGCTGTGCTCAGAAAACCTGAGTGGGGTGATACTTGTGGTACCAGTGAGGGAAGGTGTAGTGCAGGCCTGGGCCAGCTCTAGCACAGGTTAGATCACACATGTCTTGCTTTTCCACTACCAGATGAAGCATCCAGCAGAAAAAGGCTGCCATTTTAGTTTATGAATCATTCACTGGTCCAGCTCCGCATTAAATCGAGCTGTGGGACTGTTTCCATTGCTAGGTGCTATTTATCAAGTTCTCATACAGAAATGGCGGCAGAAGCCTGAAATGGTTTGTTAAACAGATGGTTAACAGCAAAGTCCAGATTTCCAAAAAAGCTCAGCCCCCCGTGGGAGTTCCTGGGTACTGAGCCCTTTTTGAAAATCTAGCCACTCCATTCGGGTGTCTAATGGGAACTCTTTTGAAAATCTGGCCCTTCATATTCCCTTGCTAGCCAGGAGTCCCTAAAGATAGAGCTTACTATGCTGCAGCTGTGTTCTAGTTAATAACAGTGATTTTGAAACCAATATTGGGTTCTACTCTGCCCTTCGCTAAGCGGAGGTAGCCCAGAGGGCTCTGGTCTCAATAATACAACCAAAAGTGGGGAAATAACAACAAATGGGGTTAAAGTCATAGGAAGTCATTAGAAAAGGTGCACAAATAAACAACATGTGCTTAAGTCTTTGCAGGATCAGGGCCTTGTAGTCAAATTGCAGGGGCTGTTCAGTTTCATAACAAGAAAGAAAAACAAAACAAAACCCACTTGCAAGTCTTAAAATGTTCCCTAAGCTTCAAATGGACAATGATGCCCTCTGCTGGGGCACTTCAGAAATGTCACCAAACAGAAACAACGGTAACTCTGAAAATTAACTGTTGGCAGCAAATTTTCATTTTTAAAAAAGTACAGATTCTTTTGCCCTCAAATCCTGCATGATGAATTTAAGCATTGTGCATCAGTACTGTTGATTCTGCATCGAGATATATTTTACACACTGCAAAGTAATGTCTTCCCAAACAAAACAAAAGATGTTTAAAGTCTGAAAGTATGTTTCATTATAGTCTTATTAACACCCACATCCCCTCCCCCCACAAAAAATTATTGAACAAAAAATCTACAACTTTTAAATATTTGGGTCATTTTTACAAGTGTAGAACTGAGCAAGAATAAACTCTAATCTTCACAGCTAAATAAACCTTCATTAATCCTGATCGTCCCACCCCAATGACTCCTACATCTCTGCTCCTTTGTTTCATTCTGTCATGGAAATATGCAGTTGGATATAGACAGAAATTTCCTTTTTTGGGGATTTATCGAGGCCCAGATTTTCAAGAGCTCTGTGCTCAGCAGCTCCCATTTAGGCACCTAAAAAGAAATGGATGAATTTTCAATAGCGGTTAGCATCCAGCCGCTCCGAGGGGAATTATGCATTTTTTAAAATCTAGCCATTTCATTTAGTGCCTAAATGAGAGAGGAGCTTTTTTGAAATCCAGCCTTAGCTGTCAGGTAAGAACTTTTGAAAACCTGCCCCTAGGTGTAAGTAAGGATTTCCAGAGGAATACGTTCCCTGGGAACATTAAGTTGTGTCAGCGTTCTATACGCATTGGTTACATGGTGTTGGTCCAGTATGAAGTTGTAGCACATACAGTGGAAGCGTGTGCTTTGAATGGGACACTCGCTGTTCCTAGTCATTTCTTTTGACCTCTACTTATATTTTCGTGCAAGATGGGGCAAAGTTAAGGTTATATGTACAATGCAAACAGAATGGGATAAAAGTAAATGGTGGAGGATTGTATTCCCATTAGGACCTGGCTGAATCTCTTCACTCTTCCAATGTTCAAAAAGTTCCTAAAATGATGGGGGGGGAGGGAGGGTTAGGAAATTTGTAAAGAAAAAACAGAGAGGAGGGTGGTGGCAGCTGGATTCCACAGAAACATAATGCAAAACTCAGATTTATGTTTGGAAATTTCTGGGTTTTTTATTAAGTGCCAAAAGTTTATATCTACGGGTTAACTTAGCTGTGATCCCCAGGAGGGATGGTGGTGCCAGGATGTAGGAAGCTTTTGTTCACATTGAAGAATGCTCCATACCACCATCTATGTGCCCAGACTCTGTGTCTCTCCAGGTCTCCTAGCCCCCATCCACGCACGCAATCATTTTAGTTCCTTCCAGTTTCATCCAGATCTCTTACCCTATATTTCATGCCCCCCACCTCCAGTTCAACCCAGCTGCTGCAGCAACACTGACCTGCAGACGAATGTCGATATTTACAAACCTTCGAAAATACTTGAGATGGTTGTACCATATGGATGTGAAAACAGCTCTGTGTGGATGTGGCCCACATAGCAGTCTTTGGTAACAGGAAACGAAGATAAACCCATGTTGCCAGCTCTTGTGATGTATGCTTCACTTAAAGCCCCAACTCCAGGACTGGTAGGTAGTAGGCTGTGATATGCAGGTCAGACCGGATGATTTGGTGGTCCCTCCTGGCCTTACACTCTGACACGAAGAGCTCAGAATTCATTTAAAAAAATATTTCCATTCCTAGCAGAGAAAAGTTTGGAACTGTGCCCAGGGTGAACCTTGAAGGCTCAAAAAAACCCCAAACCCAACAACAGGCAAATAAAAAGAACCCCCAAATAATTATTTTTAATCTCTTTTGGGGGGCCTGATTCATGATTTTGAGCATTTGCAGATGGCGATACAGCACCACAAAGTAAGAGAACGCTACAATACCATGCTATAAAGACAGAGCTTCCTCTGTGCAGTCTTTCTTTACACTTGCCCAATGCACAAAATCACAAACCCAGAGCAAAACCGCACAAAAGTGCTTATTTAAGATGGGATCTGAAACACCCAAATATTCTAATATTCTGTTTAAAGAGAAGTGCAGTTCTGTATAAGCAAGATGGTCAGTTTCCCCAATTCCTACTAGCTTCTTCTTGGTCTTTCTGAACTGGGTTGGACATTTTTTTACCAGGTGTCTGACCCCACCTTCCACTGCCACCTTCCACTGACCCCGCCTTCCACTGCCTCTTCATACCCCTGCTCTCATAAGGCAGGGAAGGGGGGTTTAGGGTTGCACCTGCATACCCCATCTTTGCAGTTATCCCAATAATCTCCTAAATCTCCACTCTCCCCAAACCCCCTCCCCCCCCCCCAAAAAAAAAATCCAACCAAAAACCAGCTAAACTCTCCTCAGCAGGGCTGACAAGACAAAGGTGGAGTTTGTAGGCCAAGCCATTCTGGAGATATGTGAAGCCCAAAACTACATTTTTGCAAAAAGTCAACCCACTGGGGAGTTCTTAAAACAGCTCTTTAATTTAAAATTCTGATTTCCCCCCCATACTTCCTAGAGAAATTCTAGCCTTCCATACAACGTGCCTGTGAAATTGCAGGGACATTGGTTTCTTATGGGAATGGGATGGAAAACAGGATTAAAATGAAAAGTCAGTTTAACTTTAATGACGAAGAGGTTAGTGCTACTCCATACAACTTTGCACTTCTCCAGTACTTTTCATCCCAGGGAGTCAAAACACTTTACACAGATAAATAGTATCACGCCCATTTTACCAATATGAAAATGGAAAGCGATTAAGTCACAGGTCAGTGGCAGACCAAGAAATAGAACCTAGATTTCCTAATCCCCAGTCTTCTTCCCCAGGCCCTAATACAGGACAGCACTTAAGCATGTGCTTAAACTCCACTGAAGCCAATGGGACTAAGCACACACTTAAGTATTGTTGGGAATGGGGTTGGACACAAGTGCTTTGCTAAATCATAATTCTCTAGTTATTAGAATCTCTATACAATTTTTTAACATCAAATACTTTATAAAACTGGCTTCCGGATTGTAAGAAGGTTTCACAACGTCTCCTTGGAACACTGCTGTGGTTCTTCAGATGTCACATACTTTGGTACTCTTGTTCAAACTCAGCCCCAAGTGTTTTTAGCTGTGTGTTTTAACTAAGGCCCATGTATCATATGATCATTCTACATGTAAAATTCCCGCTGAAGTCAACTGCTCTTAGTTCTGTTGCAATGTACACTGGAGCCTCTCTCCCTGACGCATGGGAACCAGTAAGAGTGATTAGCAGTCAGAATGTGTAGCAATCTATACATAGCAAGAATATGCACTAGTGTTCAAAACATAACTGATCTGTGCCCAAGGAGGAGTCCTTTCTGCTTCTAGTTTTGAATAAAAATATTCAGCTAATGTTTTTATTACTCTAGAATATTTTAATTATAAATTTGTTACCAAGCTTTGACAAATGGTAATAAACACCTGTGAGAAGGCCCGAGTCTCAAACTTTTTGAGAAAGCAACATATTGAAGAATGACTGTTAAAAAAGATATTCATTTCTGTAGATGTACTATTCACAAAGAGTCATCGTCATCTTTAAAACAAATAAAATCACTACTAAGGAAGATATATACAGGAACACCTAATTTTTCAAGCAGACGACCTACAAGTACTCTGCTTTGTTTCAGCTATTGCAACATTACAGACATTTGAAATTAACAGTGTACTCTGCATGCAGCTCTGGGATGTATTTGATACGCTGAAGTACAATAATATAATTTCACTTCAGATCATCATCAGCAACAGATTTTAAGCACTCATACAACATTGCAACTTGGATATTACTTTAGGATCTCAAAAGGAGGACATGGATATTAATAAACAAGTTAGCAGTAACTCTTCATTTTGCCAATTATAAAGGACACTGATTGTCTTCACAGCATAAGAGCCTGGTCTTGTCACAAATGGTGCCCTTTTCCCTGAGTTTCCTTTGTGTTTTGCTAGGCATGATGACCGGTTGGCTTGGGAGATTTACAAGTCCTTGCTCGGCACTCTTTCCATTACAAGGCAGAGTTTAGGAAATCAAGGAGTTCAGCACGGTTTCGGTCTCTCTGTGGATTAGAAAAGCAGTTCTTATAAATCACGCATTTGTTCAGTAAACAATTGAATTTGTTAAGAAGTCAGCTTGGAAGTGTACATTTCTATTACACAGAAACTTAAAGGACCCCTCAAGGGAGACAGAAAATCAGTGAAAAGAAGTAGTTTTCTCACAGGAACAGAATAGTACTCAATGGGCCTGATACTCCACTGCTTTGCATTCTGTGTAGTAATTTACACCTGCGTAAAGTGCATGTCAACTGCTACCAAATCCAGATGGCTGGATATCATGATCCCCTGTGTTGCACAGATATATATGGCTATGCTGTGTGCAAGGCAGTGGAGAATCAGGCCAGATATGCAGCCTCAGGATGCCTTCTAAGGGTGGTCCCTTATGCGGGTTTCACTCTGTTTTTCTGAAAGTAGCAACATCTATGTTATAAAGAGTCACAGTTTAGAATGTAATATTATGAACACAACTTTTATTGCAAATACTAAATTGTTTGAACAAGTGGCACAAATGTACCAACCTCATCAACCATAGGTATTATAGTCACTATAAATAATCAGATAAGGAACTATGAAGCACCATCATCTAGACATCAGGCAGTTTGATTCTTCGGATAAATGTGGCAAAATAAAGCAAGATTCAGCATGGCTTGAGGGCAACAATAGCCAACCAACATATTTTTGACTAAATCTTACCTCAAAATGGTCAGTGTAATATATCAACTATAAAGTGAGCAGTTATTACTGAACAGTTAGTCAATCAAATTCAACAGCACTGGCTAGCCAAACTGAATGCCTGCTGATTGGTGTCTCACAGACTGCAGACAAACAAGGGGAACTGCTGAGAAGTGTGAAAATATAATTTGGGTCGTGACTCTCAAGCCTCCGTTTAACTGTCTAAATTTAACTATTTCACAGCTGACCATCTTAACAGAATCATCCAGAAGCTCTGGAGCTGTGGGGAAAGTATGTGTGGAGGACCACCCCCTTTTCTCCCATTTGACACCTGCGCGGCTATGGCTAGCTTCACACACTTCAAGAAAATGGGGGCAAGGAACATAGCCAAATGTAGAAACACAGGACACTGGGAAGGTGGGAGTACTCCCTCTTTCATAGAAGAGTTAAAAGTAAAACCAACTATAAATCACACCAATGGAGAAAACCATGAACTGGTTACAAGAAAATGGTAGATGGTTCCTTACTTAACCTAGACAGGCACCCTTTACATGGCTCGAATGTCAGAATAGTCCACGCAAACATCTTAAAACTATTTTATGCCCAAGGGACTAAAGTCTAGTCTCTCTCTGGTGGCCCTATAACTACATAAAAAACTGCACTCAATTAAAACTCTTAAAAGTATGATCAACTCATCTACACAATGCAAGTGATCTGGGAAAATATAAAAAGATACTGTACTCCCTCTTTTGGGACATACAGACCATTTTCAGCCATTACCTCTTTATCCTTTTTACTCTTCTTTATTTTCATCTTAATTTTTTTTCCTGTTATCATACTGTAGTTTTCAGTCTTCTTTTTGTCTTTAAGGTACTAAAACGAGATCATGCACTGTGATACATTTCAAGGAATAAAAATATGCTCACATTTTTCAAAACAACATTATATTAATAAGCACATTTTATCATCAAGCAGGGAACAGATGCTAACTTCCGTGTCCTGGAGAGCAGAAGCTAGGGATGCTGTGGCCAACTGTATTCCATTTCCTGGTTGGTCTTTTATTTCATAAACACTTGTGCATGGGGAGGAATGGGAGTGTAACAGAGCACTATGAAACCGACACCAGCATATGTACCTTGGAAAGCTGGACAGGTCCTGATTTCTCTCTCTTTTTTTTCTTTTCTTTCTTTTTCTTCAGCTTGTTCTCTTTCTTCCTCTTCTACAGGTACAAGACACATATGCAAAGCTCATACTTCTCACAGAAACACAAGAGAAAAAAACCCAACCCAAATATACATGAACTCATAAATTTCCTTCTACTGTCCTGAAAGTCACTTTTGCCATAGCTCCCCACACCTGGACCAACTCTGGGAGATGTATTAATTGGGGGGCAGCAAAGAGGTTGATGTTTGTTAAGGCCTAGTGACCCCCAGGATCCCAGGAAACAGAAGTGGTGGTGGGTTCCCTGACCCCGTTTCTGGGGAGTCTGGTCCTCCCTGCCTCACTAAATATCTGAAATCCCTGAGCAGAAAGTGATAGAAATAAAAAGTATTAGACAGTAACAAAATGCAGATTACATTTTTATATCTAAACTGCTTATATTTTCTTGATGGATATCACAATCTTATTTAGCTTAAACAGAATTTAGGAAAATCTGTAGTCTGTTCCACATTACTTTCAAAAAGTTAAAATTTGTTTCTGATGTCCACAAACATTCGGTGGAACTGAAGCTAATACATTTCTAAACACAATGGTGAATTCATTCCTTTTTGTGCGGCCAAATGATGGAGACCAGAAATGTAGACCAGAGGCAACTGTCTTCACTCATAAGCCCATTATGGCATTTTTATTGCCGCAAAGCTACCACAGGAGAATTGGCTGCTGTTTTATATAGCACCCATCACACAAAGTCCCTAAGGTGTTTAACAAGAAGTTTCATACCGGTAGTGCAGTGATTGTATAGACAGAGGCAGCAGCTCAGTAATATAACTCATACCAGGGTCCCCAATTCCTCTCAGAGTGCCTTAAATTCTACCTGCACCCAATCCAGACACTACTAGAAGCTCCATTTAATTTCTCCTCTGAAACAGTCAATTTGTACATTTTAATTTCAATTCATTTAATATCATGACAGAAATGTTTCCTTTCAAATGAACAATTATGTTCCTTATTTTGATTCTCAGGTGAGTTTTAATCACACCAGAATACAGTAGCATCTACATTTTTTTGCCCGGATTGCTATTTATTTCTGTCAGCAAATATTTACCTTTTTGTTGCGTTTTTCTTTTTTCCTTTTCTTTGATTTAGACTTGGGAGAATCTGGAAGAAAATAAAAGTCTGTAATTTACTATTTTAAAAATATGGGTTATTTTAGATAAAACAGTGAAATGAGTACTGCAGGAGAGGGACAGTGTTGCAAGTGTGAGTAATAAAAGAATACTTAAGTCTAGCTAAAATATATGAACCTTGGCACAAAATGACACAAACACTAACTCAGTTTGCTGCCACCTCGTGGTAGAATATCGACATTATAAATCTGTAATTCACCCCCAGTGATTCCTTGCATCAGTATATTTATATTATTTCAAACAAAGGCTATCTGTTTCTGCAGCTACTGTCACAAATTATGAACCTATCCAACATACTATCTAGATCAGTGTTTCTCAACTGATGGGTATGTGACTCCAAGTGGAGTTACAAAATGCAGTTACAGGGGTCATAAGCCCTGGAAAATTTTAGTACAATCTAAAGCAAAGACAATCTCACTTCCACACTCGCCCCTCCCTTCCCCTTCAAAGTCAAGTATTCTGTCAACCGCTCAAAACACACACAAATTATATGGTCTTATTGTTATCACTGATACATTTTTATTTTTATTTTTCTAGTATATGTAGAAGAGTTGTGACATTTTTTTGACTCTGAATAAGGGGTTGCCAAGCTCATAGTCCAGAGAACAGATTATAATGACTAAAATTAAGCAATTAGCTCTATAATTTCGTCAGACTATTACATAAAAAGGCTATATTAAAAGAATGTTAACATTGCAGCGTAAAGCACTCAAAAGTTAAGAAATGCCAGTATTTTGGACCCCCCTGTGCATCAATAAAGTCTTTAATTATATAATCACATTATTTTTCCACAGGACCCCGGACTCATTCAGTGCACAGGATGGACAGTGCTCAAGTAATGGGCAGTGATGCTTTTTTTTCCCATCCCCAAAACCCCTAGACAGAATTAATTTCCTCCTGGGCTTTTCTATGATACTAATCACTACAATATCTTAGTGCTTTGCAAACATTAATAGCTCGGAAAGAGAGGAGGGGACTTTCCCCTTTCCAAAAAAAAAAAAAAAACCCCCAAGGGCGAGAAGGGGGGGTTCCTCAATGCGTTGAGAACTAGATTAAGGTCCCAAGGTGGAGCAGGGTCTCTGTCGTGAGGAAAAAGGTTGGTTAAAGTTGAATGTTGAGGTCACAGGGTGCATGGATACTGAACACCCCTAAATAGGTAAGTGAAAAGCTGCAGTAGTAGCCAGGTGGACTTGGATGGAGCTCAGTAACAAACCCAGGGTTTTTAAACTCAGTGAGTGCGGTGTGACTGAGGGTGATAATACCTGCTGGGTGAACCAGGAATAGAACTGCTTCCACTTTTGCAAGTAAGTCTTTCTTGTGGCGGGTTTTCTACTATTCAAACAGCACATTCTGTACTCTACTACTACACTCTACTGTACCCAAGGGCCATTGAGGAGCCAGGCCTTGAAATGTAGTGTGGAGAGACGGGGGTGAGTATTGTGCCCAATCCTTTGGTCAGTAGGTCTGCGGTCAGAGGCAAGCAAAGAGGTAGCCACAGAGACAGGCGAATCGGGTCCAGGAAACATACCTGCCTCATACCAGGTTGGTGCTCAGGGGATGATTACTGCTTTCTCTTGCTTTACTTTGTTCGGGAACTTAAGGCACAATGGTATTAGGGGACAGGCACAGAACAGAGTTCCAGGCCAATGGGTGAGATGAGGGAGGCATCTCCGAAAGAGCTGCACCTGCATCCTCCCCTGGAGCAGAACTGCTGGTATGCTGTGTTGAACAGTGTTGGAAAGAGGTCTATCCCTGGGAATCCCCAGGTGACAAAAATCTTTCATTGGATAGGATCACCCAGTTCCCATTTGTGGTCCTAGCAAAAATGTCTGGTCAGTGTGTTTGCTATGGTGTTGTGCAGACCTGGCAGGTATGCTAATGGTATGTCAGTTTGGTGGGTTATGCACCAGTTCCAAAGTTTGTATTGCCTCTGTGCACAAAGACTGGGATCTTGCTCTTCCTTAGAGGTTCGTATAGCACGTGGTCACTCTACTGTTCATGATGACTCTGACCAAGTGACCCTTGATCTTGGGTAGAAAGTGGGTGGATGCATGCCTACCAAACTTCTCTCGTTGATGGGAAGAGAAGACTCTTGTGGAGTCCATCTGTCTTGTTCCATGAGGTTCTGGAGATGAGCTCCCCAGCTTACTAGGGAGGAGTCTGTTGTGATGGTCTTTGTGGGTGGTGAACACAAAAATGGGACTCTCATTCCAAACTTGTGGGGATCCTTCCACCAACTGAGAGAGCTGAGAACTCTCAGAGGGATAGACATCTGTTTGGACTGGTTGTGCTTGTTGGAGTGTAGATGGTTCTGGGCCAGGGTTGGTGGCATCAGGAGAGCAGCCTGGCGTGAAGTGTTATGAACCTACAAGCTGCCATATGGCCCAGAAGCAGCAGGCAGGCCTCTGCTTGGTTTATTGAGAATGGGTATGTGATGACATTTATTAAAGTTTGTGCCACCTTTAACACTACATATAATAAAACTTGCTACTGTAGTCTTGTGTGCAAATTCAACACTTTATTCTAAACATGTAAAAGTAAAAACCAGAAAGGCTGACTAGCAGCAATCAAAAAGTACAACACAATAATCAAACTCAGTGACAAACCAGTGGAAGATGCATGCTGCCAAATGACATGGACAGCTATTTCTGGGTATCTTCTGTCCCTCTGTTGTCCTTGGCCTTTCTGGTGCATTTTATATGTGCAGGTCACAACTGGACAGGAGTGGATGAATACATAGGTTACATGCGTCTGTTCCACATACTAGTGTTCATTGGCTTGACTGAGATTTTGCTCTTATAACATGACAATGTCTTATTAGCTAAATTTGGGCTCTAGTATGCCCATTATAGTTTTATTTTATATGGAACACTTTGTTTCCAATATTTCTACTTCTGATCATTTGAATCGGTTCTTTGTTAAATAAACCAATACTAGCTTTCTCTGTAAACAAATCTAAGTGCTGTGTGTTAAATGGAGCTGGGTTCTACAGTGTAACTGGTAAGCTGTGGTGCATTGTCCTTTGGGGGGGGTCTAATGGAACAGGAGCCTGACCCTATATGTGGCTGTTCGGAGGGCTTGGGTTTGGAGTGTGCTTATCAGTAATCTGTCTACAGAGAGTCTACAGAGAAGGCAGTGCTTGTGTTGCCAGAGACTGGTGGTGTTAGGGAACTGATCCCCACCAGGCATAGACAAGGCTTCCTCGTGCTAAGGCCAGGTGGTAATGAGGTGCCTCACAACCTTGGGTACCCCCAGGAACTGTTACAGAGGGGGCTCGTGAGTTACAGAGGTAACCCTAATAAGCACGCCTCATCCTGGAACGTAACCATCTAGAGTTCCTACTCTGTGAGAAGTTCACATTTGTCATAAGCCAGTAACGAGTGAAAATTCCTGGTAAAGATCAACAAGATGCTGATTTAGCATGGAGATGTAATACAGCCTCCTTACAAGCACCGTGTCCATGAACAGACCTGGCTGATCGCCAGCGAAGGGGACTCCTAGCACAGAGAGACCGCCATACTCTGCTGTAATTTGGATTCATATTGAAGGCAGCTGTGAACTAAATACACACTCTGGTTTCGTTTGAACAGCCAGGGTTTTTTGGGACTTTACAGGCAGTCCAGGCCAGTACAGGTGTGGCCTATTTATAAGCTGTGTTGTATTACACAAGAAGGGTACATGAGACTGTTATTTGTGGAGCCCCAACCTATACTTGTAACAATCAGCAAGTAACTAGTCTATGTTTCATGCTAGCTGCTTAACTTTTCTTCCTCATTTTGTGGGGTTCATTTTGAATCCCACGTGGTACTGGAGGAAAGTAGGGTGGAGGGTGTTAGGGGAATGGGTGGGTTTCGCACTGAACAGAGGCATACTAAACCCCTGGCTTATATTAATAACTTCCTAGGGCCATAAGCTGGATATCTCTCCCATCCATACATTAACAGCAGCAAACATGGCAGCAGAAACCCAGTAGGCTCTGGAGCTTGCTCTGATGCAGGGTCTGTAGGGTGCTGCTTCCCAAGGTCATCTCCAAACAGCTGTTCCAAGTACAGACCCAGCTGTGCTCTAGTTGCTCCAGTGGCATAGCCTCTTTGGTTACTGGCCACAGCACCAGGGTCACTTCAGGTGGCACCTGTGGCTGGGAAGTTATAAGGGTGCCATCCCTGCTCAGCAGATTGTCATGCACCACTGTGGGTTCAGTGCTCGTTACAGGTCTGTTGTGGGGTAGGTACAGCCCATCACGGGTGCTGGGTCATGTATGGTGAGAAGAAGGGAAAAAAACTGTAGAGCAGCCAGTTAGGTCCCTCGTTTGTCACCCTATCAAATGTGATATTTATGGCCTAGGGGCCAGTGTCAATAAAGCGGCCCTTCCACCCACAGCAGCGTGGCCCAATGGCCAGAGTCAATAGAGAGGCCCACCTCACAATAGGGATTATGTGGCCTATTGGTCCGCTGGGGAAGTGGGGTACCATTCAGGGGGGTGTGGCACCCAGGGTAGGGGGACTCAGCCCCTCACTGGTCCTCTGAGTCCCAGCCTAGGACCGTTGTGGTGGTGGGGGTGCTCACCATCGAGTCAGTGGGAATCCTCCCGAAACACGCTGACTGGTTCCCTAGTTCACTCACTGGAGAAGAGTCTAAGTCCCCTAGACCGCTTCCTACCATTTCTCCCTCGGCAATGCTCCACGTTTCCCCTGGGTCTCTGGGGTCCTCAGGTGGAGTAGCTCTTGCTGACACAGTCTCTTCTCTGGGCTCGTCAGGCAGCCTGGAGTCCGTCTGGAACTCTGCGTGCCGTGGCTTATAGTCAGAACCTGTAGCAGCTCCCTGGAGAGAGTCTGCACACCCTCCCCTTTGAGCAGCCTGCCCAGACTGAGTTGGGCTGTTTCTTTTTATACTCTGCCTCCAGGCTGAGCATGCCCAGCAGAGTCAGAGGGGCAGGGCTTCCTCAGCCTGCAAAGCACAGTTAACCCTTGC